CTCTTTTAATTTTTTCCACTACACATCATTATGCAATTTTTCAAGATAAGGGTTTAACTCTGCCCTTAGCAGTCCCTGAACAGTTTGAGGCCATGAAAGAGTAGTCTTAAACTCTCATGGGGCATCAAAGAATTTCTGATTCAGAGGGACCTTTTTAAAAATGATGTTGTCAGCATGATGTTTTTCCTCTTATCACTAAAGGAAAGTGTTTCCTTTAGAATTCAGGTGGAGATACGTACAGATCATGAAGCCATTTTTGGTGTCTTGACAGAAAGTTTTCTTCTAAGAAGGCTTATTGGTTATAAACAATTTATTGAAGAAGTTTCATTGCAAGGATCTTTTCTACTCCATTGTTTTTACATATGTATGACTCTGGTTTTGCTTTTTTAAGATCTTCTATACATTTTTATGTCCTAGATTATTTCAGTTCTTCTTCAATTCCTACTGTATAACATATCAACTAGAATTAAAATTTAGTGCTGCTTTGAGTAACTTAAAACTAAGCATCAGAGCCTAGCAAGATTCCAGGAAAACCCAGCTACCATTTTCCTCTACTTTTATGTTACTTTATGTTACATGAACAACAGTTTCTCTCTAGGAATACAAAATCTCATAAGCTAGTCTTGAAAATAATTACCAAGACTTTACTCTGAAATATTATCTTTTGTATGTATCCGTGGTTTTTATATCAATTTTTAATTTAAATTGACCATTCACAACTATTAATAATTGTAGTTAAAGTGAGTTTTACTTCTTCTTTTTTTTTTTTTTTTTTTTTTTTTTTTTTTTTTTTGAGACAGAGTTTCATTCTTGTTACCCAGGCTGGAGTATAATGTCGTGATCTCGGCTCACTGCAATCTCCGTCTCCTGGGTTCAAGTAATTCTCCTGCTTCAGCCTCCCAAGTAGCTGGGACTATAGGCGTGCACCACCATGCCCAGCTAATTTTTGTATTTTTAGTAGAGACGGGGTTTCACCATATTGACCAGGATGGTCTCAATCTCTTGACCTCGTGATCCACCCGTCTCGGCCTCCCAAAGTGCTGGGATTACAGGCGTGAGCCACCACGCCCGGCCTAAAGAGAGTTTTACTTCTAAGTGCCACTAGACTTTTTACTTTTTATATTTCTAAAGAAGAAATTTTAAATTTAACAATTTATAATTCTCACAGAATACATAAAAATGTTGGTAATTGTAAGTGGTTCTTTTAATCAGATTTGCTTCAGACATTTTATAAGGTATATTAAGTTGTTATTCCATTACATTATTGATTCCCAAATTTCTCTTATACATCTTTCTTTATAAGACTATTGGGCCATAAACATGTGTTCCAAAACACACTTTTCTAAAATAATACCAGGGAGTGGAATAAGATATAAGAAATATATATTTTTAACAGATGCAAGTTTTATAGTGCCATGTACAAAAAATGGAATTCTGCAGTACCCAAGTGATGAAATTTGTTTGTGAGTTTTGTTATTGTCTGTTTGCTTCTGATCTGAGACTATATTTTCACTGATGGAAAAAAAGCAAAGCCAACCAACAAACAAAAAGCCTGAATCTAAAGACTTAAAATATAATCAGCTCACTCCAGCGATTTCCTGACAATCCAGGGTTTACTTCCTAGACCAGTTCACAAATACTATCTGGACATTTTTCTTCTTCCTTACCCTTCCTGGCCCTGTGAGATCAGAGGTAATGTAAAGAGTGGAGGGCCCAACAGTTATGATGGGTAGGAGTTGATAATGAGAAGGACGCTTCTGTATGAGTCTCCAGTTGATGTCTATTGCTGGCATGGTGATTAAATCTTTAATGCTCTAGATATGTGATGTAGCGATGTTGACTTCTAGGGTGGCATGTTAAATGGGGCAAGTTGCCCCTCTGGATCCATTGTAGGTTCCTCGTATGAATGATTTTTCTTTCTCAGCACCTCATTCCTGGCTTTGTAAAGTGTGTCTCCACTGCAACACAAAGTTGTTTACATCTGGCCTGCATATTTCTTGCAGAGCCTCTGCTTTCTTCTTCACCCACCTTCAAAGTCTTCTATTAATACTTGAACCCTTGGGGAATGTTTCCACTATATTTAATTGTGATCTTTTAAAAATGAGAGATTTCAGGAAGTAAGAAAGTGAGTGGCACTGTTTTTGCATTATCCTCATCTTTAAAATGTGGTTAATAATAATTATTGCTTCATGGTAGTATTATAACTGGTAAATGAAACAATTCCTGGATAGAGGATTTAGAAATTTTCTGTCCCAGAAAAGAAATAGGGAAAGAAGAAGGGATACGAGTATGCAGGAAGTGTTCTTTTCTCATCTGCTTTAATAGTCTTGAGAACCTGAGTCCTGCGATCAGTCCCTAACAATCTTATGGTTAAAGTTCTTGACAATATTTAGTAGAATCCCTAAGCAATTGGCAGAATACTGCTGAATTCTTTACTTTGAAAATGTTGATTAATGATTCCATCATCTACACAATTAAGATTTATTAAGTACTCCCGAGATGCTGTATGCAGAGGCATGTGTGAAATACAGCAAACACTGTAAAATGGACATTGGACAGTTCCTCATGAGTTATTCTCTTTTGTCTAGAGAATAAAATGAGGATATAAATGAGCATTCTGTGGGTGTGACTGACATATTCTTTTCCCTGCAGTTTTCCATGTGCTGCCATAAATGCATGCTGATTAGTAGTTTATAAAGACTAATATCAGAGGAAAAGGGTCTTACAGTGAAAATTAATTTGCATCATTATATGACATAGACAATAAATCCTAGTGGGTTTTTTTTTTTTTTACCACTTCATTAGAATTTCATCAATTCTACTTCTAGCTTAAGAAATTAGGTCTTCTAACCTAGATATTTCCTTTGGGAATTAAAGGACTGAATAATATGAAGACTTTAAAAACTAATAAACATTTTAGGGGGCAGTAAAACCTTTTAAAAGTTGAGTTTATTGTTATTTTCAAGGCATTTTATCTGATGAATTCCCCAGTTTCTGTTTTGATCCTTATCTACCTCATGAATTAAAGGTCCATAAAGAGGAATATTAATGGTAGCTATACTTTCCATATTAGACATCTATTGGTTGATCTCGCTTCAAAGTAACTGACTTCTTTGTAATATTAAGTTACTCCAATTTCCTACCTCCATGCCTTTTCTTTTCCTCTGGAGAGAACTTTTCCAGGGCATGACCTAATGAATTCTGGTTCATATTTGCAAATGAATCTGCACCAAATTGATCCTATAATTTGGTTGGCGGGGGTGAGGGGGGACCTTCATTAAATACCCTAGTAAGGGAATTTTTACTGTTTCATACCGGACTAAAGTACTTCTCTTGACATAGCGAAATTGAGCTTTAACATTTATGAGAATATAAATTGCAGCAGCACATTGTAATATGTCATGGGTCCAGTAGAGCCTTAGGTCAAGGGTTTTTACTTTCTTTATAACCCCTATTAAAAATAGCAGTGTTTTTAACTGTTTTTCCTTTAAAAATTAGAAAAATATATCCTGCTCTCCAGAGAGATGTTATCTTCAGTTATTTCTATAATTTATATGGTTCAATGGGGTATGTCTTTATAGTTTGTATTTGGCTTGACCAAAGCGCAAATTCACTTTTATTGGTATGGCTAGTTAACATTCTCTTTTAAAACTTGAATATGTTTTTCTAATTGAGAAAGTCAATTTTTGTATTCTCTTCATCCTTGACCTGTCATCTTCTTGTCTCGAAAGCTTCATAACATCACAGCTTCAAGAGACTATTTCACCATTTTAACTGCAGGACCCCCAGCCATTTGCTACTATTGTCACATCATTGCTGTACTATATATATCATCCGAAATTGAGTTTGGCATTTTCCTACAGCACCTTTTCTCTGCCACTCAAATACTGTCACAAGATTCCAGCTCAACCTCCATGAGCTTCTTAGATCTTATTGCCTGCCATCTTAGAAGGTCTTCTGAAGTAGCATGGCATGATAAAAAATATATATTGGTTATTAAAGAATGACTAGTTGGACTTCCTTAGAACCCTGCTTCTGGTCATGAGTTGGCTGAACCTAGGTCTTTGCTGTGAGTTACAGGAATAGGCAGTGAACAAATCTATCTGTAAATTTCAGTGCACATATTATTTGTACAAGTCACTTGTACTACTTACAGTATTTGGCTGTGAGCAAGTGAAACTGACTGTAGCTATTTGAAGGATATGAGAGCTGTAGAATTCACTGTAGGCTGGAAGGCTTAAGTCAACAGGAAACAAGGTAGCCTCAGTGGCCCAGCAGTGAGATATACAAAGGCAATTCTTTATAGGAGGAGTCTGGCTAGTAAGTAATCCCATTGCTTCTACCATTGTGAGTAAATTCTGGCCATCCTTTTATCTTTTTGTCACTTAGGAATGAAAGTCCCAAGTGACGAGAACATCCATTTAGCTGAGGTTAAGTCATGTGCTAACCCTGGTGGCCAGAGTCCAAGAGGAGACATAATCTGGCCTTTTTATTTTATCTTTTTCTGTTGACTACACACCATGGAAAGTTCCCTCCGTGCTGGAAAAAAAGAAATGTGTTCCTAGACAGATGTGGAATTTTGAAAATCCTGCAGACGTTTACTGTTTTCACTAAACAAAGCAACTAATTACTAATTTTGACAATTTATTTTTAAAATTGAGGTTCTTCTGGGGTATGATGTCTATGCTGGAAAACCCCAACACTATAATGTATTACCTAGTTTTGCATGGAAAAGGAGAATAACTTTTCTAATTCCTAATATGTAAATGTAAAATAAGAACACCCACCGAATAGGATTATGTTAAGATACTATTTATAATGCCCTAAATACAGTAACAAGTGCAATGCAAACACTCAAATTTTAAGTCTTTTTCTGCTTGGGCAACATATTGTTTGGTGTGATCAGAATTTTTTAAAATTAACATTATTTTACTGCACAATGATCCTATTTGTAATTCTAAAATAAATGCTATAGTTGTATTTTATTTTTTCTTTTACAGGCAGGCTAGCCTCAATGAAGCAGCCGAGAAGTATTATGATTTGGCAGCCAGGCTGAGGCCTAATGTAAGTACTTTCCTAGTGAGAAACATTTTCAGGGGGATAGACTCAAAGCATATGATAGATTTAAGACGAAGAAGCGTCGTGATACTGTTTTTTTTTTTTTTTTCTTTCTCTCTCTGATCTCTTGTTTTGAACACCTGCTAAACAGCTAATTCAACACTAAAATCTTCCAGTCTCAAGCTTCTCTTTCTAGAGGTAGATTTGCTGTTTTCTAGACTGTGGAAAGCTCCGTAAGACTTTTATCACTTGAACAGAGGCATTAGCATTACTAAATACTTCGTATTTGGATGACTTTTAAAATTAATTCCTTGAAGGTTTTTTGGCTGTGGCATTAAATACCTATTATTTTTTGATTCTCTTGTATCGTCAGACCTCAAGCTGTATGCCCCTTTTCTATTCCACAGTCCTCATTTCTAATAGCTGTGCTTTTCAACTTTATCAGGAATGTTTTCATTACAGTTTTTCTCGGGATAATCACACTTCCATAAAGTAAGATAGATATAAATTAGATCTCTCCTATTGAAATAGAATAACCATTTATGAGAAAATAAGAACTGGTTTTGTCTCGGTCTTCTAAGCACATTTTATTTGCAACACATCTCTGAACTCCAGTGCATTCCTTCTATTTTCATACACATTCTACATCTCTCGCCAATACTAAAATCTTCTACCCTGTTCTTCACATCAAGACCATCTATTGGGAAATGTAATTTTGAAACAGTAATGAAAGTGCACATGTGATGTGAGTGCAAATAATGGGATCAGTCTCATTTCTTTACAGTAACTCATCCACTGGGCAAGCATCTATACAGTGCCTGCTTTGTGGTAGAATACAGAGATCTCATATCCTAAAGGACCACACAGTGTAGCAGGCAAGACTGAACACAATCAACTAATTGAAATACAGTGTAGTGATTCTTATACAGAGGTATATACAGTCCTCTGAGAGCACAAAAGAGGAGGATTAATGCTCCCTGAAAGAGACCTATGTGGGAGGTAGCTATTTTTCTTTCCAGGAGATTCATCCACTTGAAACCTTTAGCACTGAATCTCAACGCCTCCGAGTTTTATTTGTAGGGACAAAAAAAAAATAACTTTTTCTTAAACATCCTAAGGCTTATCACTGAGACCCCAGAAACAAAAGACAGATTAACAGTAGAAAAGCATAGAAATTTATTTAATATACATTTTACCTGAAATGGGAGCCTTCAGAAATGATGACCCAGGAAAATATTTTTTGTAGACATCATGCAGAGGTATGATTAGAAGACAAAAGGTTATGATCTCATGGTAATAAATTGGCAGAAACTTAGAAAGTCCTGTTTTTTCTTCTTCTCTTTTTCCCTGTGTATTCAGAGATAAGGTGTTAATGAGGGTTTTATTAACTACTACAGGGGAGAAGGGAGGGAGAAGGTTATAGAGTGTGCTTTCTTCTTCTGCAGTTTTATTTCCTTCAGCTTAAAATACTCAATAATACAAGGAACCATTATTTGGGGTGGCTGTTCTGAACCCTGTGACATTAATTATGAGATGTTTCAAGAATTATTTTCTTTTGTTGCAAACTGATAAGCAGTTTGCAACAAAAGAAAATAATTTCATAATTATATGGTGAGAGCAATGACAGCTAAAATTTATTGAGCACTTATTATTACGTGCCAAGCGCTATGCTAACTACTTCATTTCTCACAACAACCCACAGATACTTTTGTGATTCCTATTCTGTGGAAGGGCTGAGAAGTCAATAAATCACCCACCATCAAAACCAAATGGAATCACACTGTAACTCAGGCCACTGAATGCATAAGAGAAGGCTTGATGTAAAAAATGCAGCCATATCTTCGAGAGGAAAGGCAAGCCAGAAATTTGGAAAATCTAAATAATGATAGTCATTTTATTTATTTATTCAGTAATATTTACAGAGTACCAGCCATTACTCTAGGCAGTGGCTATACAGCGGTAAACAAAATGGTTAGGAACTCACAGTCTAGTCTTAGAAGAAGCGAGTGGTATGTTCAGACTGAGTGATGAATGCTTTAGAGAGAGCTGAAGCAGCCCAAGTGGGTTAAGAGTTGCAGCAGGGAAGGGGGTGGCATGCAGCAGGCATGGTTTTGTAAATGCCCAAGGTGGGCAGCTTTGTGTAGTATTTATAGGAAAAGAGTTGAATTTGAAGTCTTAAACTTATTGTAACTTCATTAAAGGCAGAGATCAGAGTTTTGGTTTTCTTTTTTTAATTACCTTCACATTAATAGAATGCTCTAAATACACATAATGCGTGATACTTAAGTGCAATTGTTTTTTGAGTACTAGTCACTTGAGTGTCATGTCAAGTGGTTGGTGAAATGATTCATCTTCAGCACATTATAATGGATTTGTGAGAGAAGAGCTACCTGACTTACCTGACCTGAACTAAAAAATGAAAGATACTCAGGCATTACGAGATTTGAGCCTGATTTGTGAAATGGTTAATACTAAAAGACTAACTAAATCATAAAATCAATATTTAATTTCCAACTCAAAGCCATTTTTTTCTGAACCTTCAAAATGTTTCCTCATAAACCTGCTGCAGACTGCCTTTGAAAATATGTTTATTCAAATGATACTTTCTTTATCTGGCAACAATACATTTAAAGTGGATGGGATAGAATAAAATGTTCATATGTAACAGTAAATAAATGGTATTACAATTGATGGATCAAGAGATAGGTCTTTTCCTAATCTGTTTTCAGAATTGTGTTTTGACTTACAGTATGTGATCTAGGTGAGTAAAACACCACAGCACAGAGGAAAGAGTGATAAAATACAAACCATGGCAGTAGTATAAATTTCTGTTCTGAAACGAAGAGACCTATTTAAACAAGAGCCCATGTAATGATTTGTTAGCAATTACACCTATGATCTGAATTAAAGCATTCATTTAATATTCTTCCTGTTTATAGCTGTTTATTACCTTTGTTCATAAAAAAACATTCTTTTTTATTTGTCTGCTTTTAACTTAATAAATTTGTTACCTGCCTATACGAGAGCATAGCTAACAGACCTCAACTCCAGTCTTCTGTTTAAGAGTTCCATTGTTTTTTCTAGTTTTCTCCCCTACAAAGTAATCTAAGCTTACTCTTATTTTTTGTAAAGCATTTTCTTCTATTTTTTAAGTGCCCCTGAAAGGGTAACAATCAGTAGCTTATGCGGGAGATTCTGTGACTGTCTTAAAGGTCACGACTATACAAAGTAAAATATGAAGCTGCAACCTTTGTGTACACACAATCACGTATTACAGTAATATTTCAAAGACTGCCAATGGAATAAAATACCTATTCGATTTCTTCAATATGTCCCCTGATGAATTTCTTTATTTATTCTATGCTGTGAAAGCCGTATTTTTTCACATAATTTACTTTGAAACTGTTTATATTTTTGCATCATTTTATATATAAAGAATTCCAGCGATCAAATACTAAAATAATGAAAGATGTCTACATTAACTGGCACAAAGTAAGTTTTAGATTCTAATGTTGTCTCTTCATTAGAGATGTTCAATACCTTGTCATTTACCAAAATACATAGATAGAGAAGTCTATTTATTTAAAAAAGATACCATTACCGTTTTAAAATTTTATTTACTTGATTCTTGGGGCTGATTGTGCTAAAATTAAACCTTATAGCAGATTAAAACATGTTACTATAGTAAGAAAACTTCTTACCAACATTGCCATTTTAAGTTTTTATAGCTTTAATTTTCTATTGTTTTAAATAAATTGACCTTTCTTTGGAGGTTACTTTAAATAGACAACAGTGTTCTCTGTCTTCTCTCTCACTTATGCTCATCAAAAAATGCTGACTCTGGAGGACTATAGGGGACATTTAAATGAAAGTGCTTTGTTCTTCCTGTGGGAAGTAAGCCAAATTCTACATTAACTAATGGATTTTTAAAAAATGGTTAATGTGAAGAATGGGAAATTTGCATAGTACAAAGTCACCTGCTTTTACTTGGCTTTTAGTAAACTCTAGAGTCAGGAGAGGGTACTTAGCAATGTTAGGTCTGTACATCTTATATTTTGGGGGATGTAATTGTTTTTAGTATGAATTTATTCAATTTATTTTTTATCAAGTTCCAACTTTTTATAAGACTGTGCTAAAGGCAGTAGGATTTGAAAGTTATGAAAAATTAACCTTGTCCTTGAGACGTACAATCTAATGGGGGAGGGGGTGGAGGAGAGAACATGGGATTGGGGTTCCTGTGTTCCCTCCTCCAATCCCAATCAAACATCAGGGCCGTAAATAATGCCATCTAATAAGTGCTTTGTGAGACATACGAGCTAGGTGTAAACAAAGTGCACAGGAGAGAGAAATGACTTTAAGCTGGATTGAGCTGAAGAGGCACTGAGTCACAGTTGACAAGCTAAGAGAAGCTTGAAATGATAGGATGCTTATAGGTGAGGATTTTAGCAAGAACAAGGAGAGAATTCTGGCAGGTAGAACTGTACACGTGAACCAGGGCAAGGGGCAGGGTACAGAGAGGAAGGGTATGGGGAAGATAGAACTGGAAACTAGCATAAAACCAGAGGAAAGGCAGTGAGTACTATACTAAAAATTTGGAGTTTGTATTTTAAAATGTTATTAAGCAAAGTGGCATAATGAAAAGAGTAATTTAGGATGGCCATTTATGTGATGGAATGAAAAATGTCGGTTGTGTTTGAGAAAATAGAGTTGGGAGATACAGCCTTGGGAAAACTAAATAAAAGGTCACGGTAATAGTATAGGTATAAAGCAGTGAGATTAAAGTACAGAAATGGAGAGGAATGCAAAAGAACATAGAGACAAATTAAGCCATAGATTATTTCACAAGATGTGAGTAAGATAATTAGCCACTATAAGTGTTCCAGCATTTTGATTTTAGGTAACTTGGAAGAAAAGAAACACTACAAAGATAAATATTGTAATCAATCAGAGTGCTATATTTATTCCAAGAACAAAATGTTTAGACTGAGCAAATTCTGAGAGAGAGA